AATAGCAAACAGCACTGGCTGTTTAAAAAAAAAAAACAAGAAAAGAAAGAAAGAAAGATGAAAGTACGATTTTAAAACAGCCAGTGTACAGTATAAGTTTTCATTAATTGGACAGAGAGCATGTTGAATTTACTCCACCCCGGCGTCTTTCCACTTCAAACTAACCACCCCACAATCACCAGCTCCGTTTCTCTGGAAGCCTTTATTCCTCCTCATCATTATCATCAGTATGCATCCGCCCACCGGCATTTCAAAGCTGCCAGCCTCAGCCTTGCACCGTGTCTTGTCTCTGTGCTGCTGAAGGACTTCTCAACATTGATGCTAAAGGTGTCTGATTAAATCTTGAGTGACACTGAATTTATTTCAGCTTCGCTCCCACTATGCTGCTCAGAGAAAAGAGAAATCGAGGTCCTGACGATGGATTGGAAAACGTATAAAGAGTATGAGGACTTAAAAAGATAACATCTTTAGCTTGGATGGTGTTGACTGAGCTACCCGGCCTCTAGTAAAGAACGCTGCTCGCCTGTTTGGGTTATTGGATTTTTCAAATAACATCATTATAAAGAATGAACACTCCAAACAAATTACATTTTTCATATGGCCCTTCATTTCACTGACATTTCTTAACAGGACTGCTCTTCCTTAAAAGTGTAAACTTACTGCAACCCCACTATGTTCTCTCTGAGGCAAAGCTACGTTATTTACAATGAACAGAACATTTCTAACAGTCAAATCAAAGTACTTCCATCCATCCATCCATTTTCTTCCGCTTATCCGGGACCGGGTCGCGGGGGCAGCAGTCTAAGCAAAGATGCCCAGACCTCCCTCTCTCCAGACACTTCCCTAGGAAGGCGCCCAGGAGGCATCCGAAACAGATGCCCGAGCCACCTCAGCTGGCTCCTCTCGATGTGGAGGAGCAGCGGTTCTACTCTGAGCTCCTCCCGGGTGACCGAGCTCCTCACCCTATCTCTAAGGGTGCGCCCGGCCGCCCTGCGGAGAAAGCTCATTTCGGCCGCCTGTATCCGGGATCTTGCCCTTTCGGTCATGACCCAAAGTTCATGACCATAGTACCAAAGTACTTTACATCGGAAAAAACAAACGCAAAAGTGTTAAAAACCAGCATACATTAAATTAAGACAAAATAAAATAAAGTACTGTTAAAGGAAATAAAATACAAAAAATTAAAATAAAAGACAAAATACAACCAAAACACAACTACAGCACAGTTACTCTGCAGTAATAAACTGGCAGGCTGCCCTGAATGCAACAGAGAAACCACTCAGTCAAATGTACAAGAAAATAGCAGAGATTTTAGTTTAGGTTTGAAAGAGGGCAGAGTTAGGACACATTCTCACGTCATCGGGAAGTTGGTGCCATCTGTGTGCAGCATAGCAGTCAATTTAATTATGGCCCTAGTGTGACTACTGAAGCTCGGATCTGAGTCAGTCAATGCAATGGAATTAAGCTGGACACTAACTTTCATTGTCTTTTTCCGTTGACCAGGAACAATAATGCGTCTTGTGAGTTTAACTAAATCCAAGGCAAGTTTATTTATATAGCATATTTTCATACACAAAGGCAATTCAGACACACAAACAGACATAACATTAAAATGCATACATAGCTAAAACATTACAATGCAAATTAGATTAAAACATGAAATGCAAATTAAAAGCAACAATTATAGAACAAGCAGCAACATCCATGAATAGTTACCTGGTAAATACAGCTGTGGATTCTCACTGCTCTCATTACACTCTGGGTCCCTTTACTTCAGTCTTCCCAAGACTGACCTCTGAGTACTTTTACACTAGATGCAGGTACTTTCTTCTGGAAATTTGGAACACCAGTGTATTTACAGTCAGCTAAACAGCACGATGAAGTCAGGTGGTTTTTGGATAATGGAAGAAAAATAAAAGCCAACAAAGTGCAAGATTGGGTGGAATTAAGATACATGAAATACAAGCAGTGGAAAAAGAACTGTCTTTAGTTTTAAAAGTGCCTCCAGTTGGGGCAGATCTCGGTTTTAAGGGGAGCTGGTTCCAGTAGCATCGCGCCTAAAGGCTCCTTCACTTTGTTTAGTTCAGTCTATGGGCACCACTAACTGACCGGTCCCCAGTATTTACTTGCTCTAACACTTACAGAGTGAATAAAAGACCACAGAGACTTGGTGAAAGAGTAAATCCATGTGTCATCTGTACCTGATAATCCTGCCCAGTCCATAGTATGAAAAGCTACAGGCAGCACAGAAACTGATGGTTTACCTGAGTCAGTACCGACATAGATGTCACCCTTTATCAGTGCAGTCTAACTGCTGAGGGGTCGTCTAAAGCCAGACTGAAATCTGCCCAAAAGGCCATTTACAGTAGGTTTTAAAAATGTTGTTCAGTTGAATCAATCACTTTTCCAATAAAGGGAAGATTAGAGATCGGTCTGTAGTTATTTAATACTGAAGGATCCGGGGTGCGTTTCTTTAGAAGGGGCTTAACTACAGCAGTTTTCAGCGATTTGGGAAAAATGCATGACAAGAGCCACATCCAGGTGCTAACCTTGTTGAGGGGAAATAAAAGATGAGAATTATTGCTATTCCTGTTGATGATGTTAGAGATGAAGACTTACAGTCTTATTTGTTTTTTTAT